CCAGGAGCCAAGCCTGGCCTGACTTCTGGGGGGCTCCCCGGGGCTTATTCCACCCCCCACCCCAAGCCAAAACCTCCTGCAAAAGGGGCTAGGCTGGACCGTCCCAACCAGCAGTGGGATCCTACCTTAGTCACTACCGGTTTGGTGGGGGATCGAGTGTGCACACGCAAACAAGCCCATCAGCGGGGGGGAGGGGGGATGAAGAAACGAAAAGCTAGGAGGGACCCCCTCCCTCCGGCACGCGCTCTTCCGTCTTTTACCCTCTCGGCTCTCCCCTTTTCCCCCTCCTATCAGCTGATTGGAGCCTTTTCTCTTTTTTTTTACTACCGGCTCGTCCAAACCGCTCCAAACCGTGCCACCACTGGTCCCAACCCTCTTCCCTGCCCCCCTACAGCTCCTCCCACTGCAAGCCCCCCTGAAGAGTCTGCTGCAAATGACCATCATGCCCTTCATCAACGGTACGCGGGGGAGGGGGCGAATGTGGGGCAGCTCTGGGGGGGTCAGGGAGCTGGATCCTTTGCCTGTGAGGGGGTGGCTGCAGAAGAGGGGCTGCCGGGGCGAAGCTTCCCCAACGGGCAAGGCCAGCAAAGCCCCTCCCTCTTCCTTGCAGAGAGGACCAAGAGAGGGGTCCAGATCCCCCTCCCCGAAGGCATGGACTTCACCCAGGAGGCCGTCAGGAGCCACCAGGTAAGCAGGACCCCCTCACACCGGGGCTGCCTGCAGGCAGGGCCCATGGAGCCGGGATGCTCCGCTCCACAAGCCCACCCATCCTCCCCCTTGCCTCCCCAGGGCTACCTCACCATCGGGGCCGACCTGCGTTTCACCAAAGGGCTGCGAGAGGTCATCGAGAAGCTCCAGGCGACCCCGGGCCATTCTCTGGCCTCCACCGCTGCCTAGGGGCCCTGGATCTCATCCCCTACCTGCTCCCAACTTTACCTGCCTGCCCCAGTCAGGAGGAGCCCTCTGCCCGGCCGGACGTCAGGGTCCCCGTGAGGCTCTGGGACGGCTGAATAAAGAGCTACGCTGCCCAATGTCTGCCTCCTGTCTTACGTGAGGGGTTGCATGTGGGGGGGGCTGTTCTCCATCCGTACAACGGCCCTGCCAGGTAGGCGGGCCTAGCCCCACGCTGGAACCCACCGGAAATGGGACCAGAGGCCTCCTGCCTGCCCTGGCCTGCAGATCTATGGACCCAGATGCCCCTCTCGGCCAACCCCGTTCTCCCTTCCTGGGATCGATGCTGCCCCCTCCCCAGGAAAGGGGAGCACCCCCACATCTGCCCCACTGTAGGCCACCCCCTTTGGCCCAGCAACTGTGGGTGGAGCCGGAGTCTTGGCTGGGGAAGAGGCTGGGTGCAACATCTGCACCACCTCTGGACTTCAAGCAAAAAGCTCTGCAACCTTTCTGGACTAATGAGCCCCTGGGAGGGGGGCAAAGCTCGCACCCCCCCCAAGTCAAAGAGCCTCGAGTTGGTTGCCCTCAGACTGGACCAGGTTCCACCCTCACACAAGCTCTTCACCAGCCTGATTTGGGGGTTCACCTGACAGCCAGGACCCCAAAATCCCGAGAGGCCCACTCCTTCCCCAACCCTAAAGGGAACACGGAACCGTTGCTAAAAAAAAAAATCCTCCAGGAGCCCCAGGTGCGGATTCTGGGATAATCAAAGAGGCGGCTGCCAACCCCCTCCCCCTCCCCCGGACTTGGCACGCCTCCCCTCCCCCTTAATGTGGGGCGAGGCAGCCGGCAGGTGGGGGGCTGGGGGGCAGTCAGCGGGAAGGCTCTGCCTGGGCAGCCCCCGAAGCAGCAGGCGCCCCTTAAGGGAGGGCCAGGCTGACCCAGGACCCCTGGGTGCTGCAGCTGGTGAGCGCAGGCGCCGGAGGTTGGCACTGCTGCTGGGGCTGCTGCTGCGGCGGCTTCCCCCGGGTAATGCTCAGCTCTGCAGCTCCTGGAGAAACTGCCCCCGGGCTGCTGTCCCTCCCCACAAGCAGCTTCTGGGGGGAGGGCTGGAGGTGGGAAGTATGGAAAGAGAGGGGGAAGGGACCCTGGAGGTCTTCTAGTCCAAATCCCCGGTCAAGCGGGAGACCCGAGACCAGGGACGTCCAACTTTGGAACCTGTGGGCTGCCATTCCCAGAATTCTCCAGCCAGCCTAGCTAGGAGCTGAAGTCCACAGGCCTTAAAGCGGCCCAGGTGTGACACCTTTATCCTAGACCAGGGGTCTCCAGCCTCGAGCACTTTAAGACCTGTGGACTTCAACTCCCAGAGTTCCTCAGCCTGCTTGGAGCCCCCTGCCCTAGACCCCTTTAGGGCCTCAAAGCCTCCAGTGATGGGAGCACCAGCTCTGCTTCCGGAAGACCCCGAGCCCCCAGACCCAGCCCTGCCGCCAAGGCAGCCTCCTCTTCCCCACAGATCGCGCCACTCCTTTTCCAGTAGAAAAATAAGAGTTTAATCGCTTGCTTGGACCAAGAAAGAGAACTTGGCTGCTCTTGATCCCCAGTCGACTTCCTCCTGCAAGAGCCGCCGGAACGAAGGCTGAGAAACGCCCCTCACCCCCCACGCCCACCGAGGGCAGCGAGGGGACCCGCTTCCTCCCTGAGGACAGTGCAAATGCGCAGAGAAGGGGAGACAGGGCCCTGCCAGAGGACCTGCCCAGGGCCCGAGACCCTCCAGAATCCCCCCCCAAGGCCGGTCAGGAGCCGCTCTTTGCAGCCATGCGGCAGCGGGAGGGGGCTGGTCTCCCCAGGAAAGACGCTGCTCCCGAGCTTAGAAGGGCTGCCGGTTGAGGAACCGCTGCATCATGTTGAAGGCTGCCCGCGGCTGGTCAGCGGGCACCATGTGGCCGGCACCCTGTGGAAGGGAGAGAGGAAGCGACGGGAGGGTCACCACGGCTGACTCGCCCCGCACAGCAGAAGCAGGGAGGGGGGGAGGGGAAGTATTGGAAGGCATGGGGGGATGGGGGGAAGGGAATGGGGGGAATGTCAGGGAGCCACCGGTTGCCCGGGACAGTCCCAACTCCCCAAGGTCAAACCCTGGGAAGCAGCTTCGAGATTGTTCCCCAAACAAAATAAAGGCCGCTGATTGGTGGACGAGGGGATGTGGGGAGGTCCAGGGAGGAAAGTGGGGTTTATAGGCTTGGTTCTCGCGCAAAAACGTTCGACCTGGCCTTGCTCCTCCTGGGCCTATGTGGAATTATCAGGGACGGGATGGATGCTCTTGGGAGGGTCACATCCCAGGAGTCTCTCTGGCTGCATTTCACCAGGGTGGGCAGACTCGGGGAGGGGAGGGGGCGAGCTTGGCTCTTGCGAGACCCCTCCCCACTCTACCTTGATGGTGAGGAAGGCAATGTTGCTGAACTCCTTCACGAAGCCCCCGATCTGATCCTGGCCGTCCTCGTCCGTGAAGATCCAGGACCTCCGGGCCACCTCCACCTGCCGGCAAGAGGACCCCGGGGGGGTGAGGGGGGGGAAGCTGTGAGGGTCTCTGGGCTTCCAGAGGGGCAGGCAGCGCCCAGCCTGGCCCGACGGGGAGGGTCCCGGGGGGGGTTAGGCGAGGAATCCCCATGGAAGGAGGCTGTGCCCCCCTCCGAATCCCTGAGCCCCATTGCCTCCCCTGCGTCCCCCAACCCAGAGGGGGAGGGGCTGCAGGACGGCCTCTTTTCCTGTTCTCTTTATTTATGGAGCAATTTATGGCTCTGTGCCCAGGCAGCCCCCGAGACAGCAGGACTGAGCAGTGGGATGGAGGGCCGGTCCTCACCCCTTGCGGCCTCCCCACGACCACGGGATCAAAATCTGGATGCAAAACAGCTTCCTGTTTACGATGGCCACAGCGAGCCCCTTTTGCGACCGACTGACAATCGGAGCCCACAGGGAAGCCACTTCACGGCCATGAACAAGGAAGGCGCAAAAGGGGCCAAGCCTCACTTAACAACTGTCTTGCTTTGCGACAGAAATTTGGGGCTCAATAGTGGTTGTTAAGGTGAGGGGGAGCGAGGGGCTCCTTCCCAAGAGACGGGCCGGGTGGGACCCTGGGGGTGTTGGGGGGGGGAAACCAGGGTCCAGGGTCACAATGAATGATGTGCCTCAGAGTCGGCTGCGCCCAGGCAGTGCCGGACATGTTCACTCCCAATAAACCCTTTTGAGGTTTTGGGAGTTTGGCTCGAGGCTCAGGGGTCACTGCCGGCATCCTGACGGGGGGACTTTCCCCTCAAGAGCCCCCCCAGCACAGCCCACCTTCTGCTGCAGGGACTCCACGAACCATTCGTCCCCCAGGAAGTTGCAGGCCATGTCCACATCCCCGTTGTACAGCAAGATGCGGTATTTCTGCAGAGATCACGGGGGGGGGGAATTAGCGCCGCTTTATAAAGCCTCAGTGAGGCCACACCTGGAATACACTGCCAGCAATTTTGGTCACCACAAATCACAAAAAAAGAGGTTGGGACTTTGGAAAAAGGGCAGAGAAGAGCAACTACTACGGCGAGTAAAGGTCCGGAGACTAAAACATACAAAGAACAGCTGCAGGATTTGGGTTTGGGATTTGGGTTCTAGAGAAAAGAAGGGGGGGGGAACAGGATAGCAGCCTTCCAGTATTTGGGGGGCTGCCCCAGAGAAGAGGGGGGGGGGTCCACCTCTTCCCCAAAGCCCCTGAAGGCAGGACAAGAAGCAACAGACGGAAGCCAGTCAAGGAGAGGAGCAACCTGGAACGAAGGAGGAAGTTCCCGACAGCCAGAACAAGTAACCCGTGGAACTGCCTGCCACCGGAAGTTGTAGGAGCTCCATCCCTGGAGGTCTTCAAGAAGAGACTGGACAGTCACTTGTCTGAAATGGGATAGGGTCTCCTGCTTGAGATGGGGGGCTGGACTAGAAGACCTCCAGGGTCCCTTCCAGCTCTATTCTATGCTAGAAGCCAGCCAGGGTTAGCAGGGCCCAGAGGAAGGGCCAGCCTGGTAGGGGAGCGGGGACTGCCCCCCCCCCCCCCCCCCCCCCCCGGAACCCCCCCCAGTGCCGGGCGGCTTCAGGTACTGGGCGTTCATCTCGGTGTAGAGGCGCTTGTAGCCCCGGCTGACAGTAAAGCTGGAAAAAGGGCCCCCCGATTAGCAGGTGGTCTACAAAGGGCCCCCTCCCTGGATGCCTCTGGGGCTGACCCCCCCTCACCTGCAGATCTCCCAGGCCGGGGCGTCGTCCTGAATGTGCAGCGCGTGGCGCACCTGGGGGTCGTTCAGGTAGCGGGTGAGGCCGGTGGTGTTGATGCAGGGGGGGTTCAGCCGCACCTGCTTGGTCACCCCCAAGTTCAGCAGATTCTGAGGGATTCCAAGCACAGCGGCTGCTCCAGGCGGCTTCCCCAGGGAGCGTCTCCATTCACCCACCCACTCATTTCATTTCATTTCATTCACTCACTTTATTCACTCGCTCCCTCGCTCACCATTCATTCATTCATTCATTCATTCACTTCGTTCATTTATTCATTCATTCATTCATTCACTTCATTCATTCATTCATTCACTCACTTTATTCACTCACTCGCTCACTCGCTCGCCATTCATTCATTCATTCATTCACTTTATTCACCCACTCACTCATTTCATTCAGTCACTCACTTTATTCACTCACTCACTTTATTCACTCGCTTACTTGCTCACCATTCATTCATTCATTCATTCATTCACTCACTTTATTCACTCACTCACTCACTCACCATTCATTCATTCACTTCATTCATTCATTCAACTTCATTCACTTCATTTATTCATTCACTTCATTTATTCGTTCACTTCATTCATTCATTCATTCATTCATTCATTCATTCATTCATTCCTCCCTCCCTCCCTCCCTCCCTCCCTCAGCTGCGTTCAGGCCTTCAGAGGACAGGGGAAAGCAGCTGAGATGCTCAGAGCCTTTGCTTCCCCCCCCCTCCTCCCCCTCCCCCCCTCCCTCCTGGGTTCTGGGGAATTGACTTAAATCCACGGCTGCCTGAGTTTGGGGGGGGGGTGTCTCGAGGGGGGGCCACAGAAGCACACCAAACCTTCGCTCTGCTTTCTCAGGCCGTATCAGTCGGGCGTTTCTGGCAAGGGGGCTTCTGTCCCCAAGAGAATCTCCCGCCCTGAATGAGACCCCCTCCTGGGCGTCCCCAGGGACCCCCCAACCCATCTTCCCCAGCAGGGCTCGTGCCCAGGCCAGCCCTGCCGTCCCTGCTCACCTCCCTCCAAATACTGCGCAGGGGGTGCCAGTTGAAGCGGTTGCCCAGGTCGTGAGTCACAATGGTCCCATCCAGGTAGCTGCAAGGTGGATAAGAGCCGCTCAGGCCGTCCCAGCCTCCCTCACCCGCCTCCTCCACCTTGGCAGAGCCCCGCCTGACACGGCCAGGGGCCGAGGAACTGGGGGGAGGGGGAGGAAAGGGGGGAGCGGCCTGCAAACCGCAAGGCGCTCACCTGAATTTCCCCGGCACCCCCCCAGCGCAGGGGGCATAGAGGTTGTAGATATTGAGGCCGGATTCGTCCACAATGTGGATCACCTCCACCATCTGCGAGGAGCAAGAGAGCCGGATGAACTCAAGGGCTGCCCTCCACCCCACCCCCACCCCTCGCCTCCCCCCTCCCCCGGGTTCCCCCCACTCACAGCAGCCGTGCAGTTCAGATTTGGGCTTTTGTGGAAGTTGCACTTCCCTCCCGAGCAGCAGAAGCGCTGCAGGTCGCCCCAGAGCCTGTGGAGGGGAAGCGGGGTGTGTGTGTGTGTGCGTGTGTGCGCGTGTCTCAGCTTCCTCTGGGGCCGGAGCACACCAGCCCCTCCCCCTCCCCCAGGGGGGGGGGCAGAGACTCACTTGTTCCCCAGGAGGCCGTGGTAGTAGGCGAAGTAGACCAGGGAGTTGTCATTGGTCTCGTAGGAGGAGAGCCCGTTGCCCACCGAGAGGCCCTGAAAGACACGCCCAGTGACCTCCAGAAGCCCCTCGCCCCCATTGCCCTCCTGCCCCCCCCCGGATGGTGGGGAAACGGAGGAGGCTGCCCCACTCTCTGGTTTCTCTTCCCCAAACAAGAAGCGGCCCAAGGGAGGAACAGCAGCTGCGCAGCTGCTGCCGGGCAGAAATCCGGTTTCGCCACTCTCCATCTCTGCAGCGCGGCCCAGGGCCAAGGGCGAGTCCCCTGGGCACCCCTGTGCCCCCCCGCCCCCCTTCCACCCCTGCCCACTTAATGCCACGCTCCCGAGAGCCTTCCCCAGGGCCACACCCACCTTCAGGTTGAGGCTGGCGTCCTGCATGACCCACTGTGCCAGGGTGGGGATGTAGATCCCGCCATAGCTTTCTCCAGCCAGGTAGAGGTCTTTGGGCAGGTGCTCCGGAAACAGGCTGAAGAACTCTTTCAGGGCCAGGTAGTTGACGCGGGCCACCTGCGGGGGCAGAGAGAGAGGGGGGGGCACGTGCCAGGCACCAGCTGGCAGGCCAGGGTCAAGAGGGCAGGGGACAAGGGTCGGCACCCACCTCTGTGTCGTTGGTTTGGTAGTCTTGGCTATCCGAGTAGGAGTAGCCGACACCGACCGGGGACTCCAGGAAGAGGATGTGAGCGAGCTGGAGGGAGACAAGGGCGGGTGGGGGGGTCAGGCTCCATGGGGGGGGGGGGGTTATTTCCCCCCCGCCCCCGTGCCCTTGCCCCCGCCAAGCTTTCGGGGTTGGGGGGGGGGGGGGCTCACCTTACTCCAGGCATAGTCGTTGTACTTCAAGGTGGCTCCGTCTGGCTGGACCTAAAGGGGAACAAGGGACCCTCCTCAGGGGAGACCCCCCACCCGGATGCCCACGGCCTTTGCCCCAGGACCAGGCTCCCTGCCCAAGAGCCCCTCCTGAGGGAGGCAACCGTCGCAGGGGGGAGTGTGACCTCACAAATGCCCGGGACACAAGGGAGCCGGGCCCTCGGCAAACACCGGCAGGGAGGGAAGTGGCCGCGCGGCTCCCGCCCGCCTCCCGCCACGGAGCCCGGGGCCGCGCGGGAGCGGGGCGACCGACCGTGAAAGGCCCGTGCTCGGTCAGAAGGCCGGCGAGGGAGCTGCAGCCGGGACCGCCGTTCAGCCAGAGCACCAGCGGCTTCTCCGCATCCGCCGCCGCCTCCTCCGCCTCCACGAACCTGCGGAGAGGAAGCCGCGGTCGGAGGGGCCGCCCGGCTGTCAGCCCCCCTCCCCCGCTGCCCCCCCCCCGCCCTCCCCCCGCCGCCAGCCCACCAGTAGTGCAGGTGCTTGTCTCCGTCCACGCTCAGGTAGCCCGTGTACTGCTCGAAGGCCGGTTGCTTGGCCAGCCCCGGGAGGAAGTCGATGGCGAACTTGGACGACGGAGAGCCCGACCGGGCGGCGGCGGCGGCGGCCAGGAGGAGCAGCGGCAGCAGCGGCGGCGGCGGCGGGAGAGCCATCTGCGGGGAAGGGAGGGAGCGCAGGGCGGGCGGTCAGGCGCCCTCGGGGGACTCTGCCGGGAGGAGCCTCCCAGCCCCCCGAATCCCCCCGAAGCGGAGCCCGCGGGGTCCCGGCAGCGGCGGTCCCGGGCCGTCCCGGCGGAGCTCACTTGGCCACGGGCGGGCGGGGGCTCCTAGGGCTCCGGCGGCGGCGGCAGCGGCACCAGCAGCGGCAACCGGGCGCACGTGACTGCCGCTCCCCGCCGGGCTCCGGTCACTTGACGGGCGGGGCGGGGCCGGAGCCGGCAGCGGCCAATCGGGCCGGCGCGCCACTTCGCCCCGCCCCGCCCCGCCGCGGAGGAGGAGGAGGAGGAAGGGGGGGATGCGGCGCCCGGCTGGCGGCCTGAACCGAGCTGAGCGGCGGCCGGGATTCCCCGGAGCGAAGCGCCCTGCGGACCCCCCCCCCCCCCCCCCCCCCCCCCCCCGGCCCGCCCCGGCCGGGGCCGCCGCCCCCCGTTGCGCCCCCGAAGCCCCGGCGGCGGCGCGGGAGGGCGGGGGGGGCGGGGGGGGGGGGGGGGCGCTCTCTTTTTGCCGCGCGACGGGTTGGGCGGAGGCCGGGCTCAACCTCCCCCCCGCGGGGGCTCCGAACCGGTCTTGCCCGGCTTCTCCGGCCGGGTGGCGGAGCGGGAGGCTCTGGCGGAAGCGGCTGCCGACCGAGACCCACCGCGGCTGGGGAGGGCTGCTCTGGGCCGCCTCGCACCACAGACGGGACCGGGGGCCGCACAGCTACCCGAGTCCGGCCGGCCCAGAGTGGGGTGGGGGGTGTGGGGGCGCGTGCAAGGGCGGGGCCCCCGGAAGCCCCGCGGATCGGGCGCAGGGAGGCTGCGGGTTTGGAGGGGGCGGCCTGCTGGGGCGAGGAGGCCGGTCCGGTCCGGTCCGGTCCGAGCCCCGGCGGCGTGTCCGACCTGCATGTGCTGCTCCCGCAGCCCGGCCCGGATCGCCTTTCCGACGTTCGGGCCGATTCCTGGCCGATTCCTGGCCGGCCCCCCTTGGCGGTCGGCGGTCGGGCAGGGCGCTAGGACCCGCCCGGCTGCCGCTCTCCCTCCTTGGAGCCAGGCGTCCCCGGGGGGCGGCCGCCCCCTTAAAATAGCCTGGGCTGCGGCCGGCCGGATCCGAGATGGCGGCCGGGTTGCAGAACCCGCCCACGCGCTTCCACGGGGTCCACGGGGCCCACGTCCGCCTGGACGCCTCCCGCACGCGGGCCACCCGCGTGGAGAGCTTCGCGCACGGGCTGTGCTTCAGCCACCGGCCGCTGGAGCCCGGCCAGATCTTCCTGGTGGAGATCGAGGAGAAGGAGCCGGGCTGGTGCGGCCACCTGCGCGTGGGGCTGACCGCCCACGACCCCCGCGACCTGCCCGCCGTGCCCGAGTACTCGCTCCCGGACCTGGTCAGCCTGGGCGACAGCTGGGTCTTCGCCATCACGCGCAGCCACAACCGCGTGAGCGAGGCGCCGGCCGGCGGGCGGGGGCTCCTCTGCGGCCCCCACCTGCTCATCGAGCAAGTCCGCATCCCCCGCGACAAGCTGGTGGGCCGGAGCCGGCCGGGCCGCTACAGCCACATCCTGGACGAGCTGTACAAAGCCAACGTGCTGCCGCCCACGGCCCGCAAGAGCCGCATCGGGGTGCTGTTCACGCCGCAGCCGGACGGGACGGCCGACATGCACATCATCATCAATGGGGAAGACATGGGGCCCAGCGCCCGGGGGCTGCCCGGGTCCCGGCCCCTCTATGCCGTGGTTGACATCTTTGCTTCCACCAAGAGCGTCCGAATCATCCAGGTGGAATACGGCTGTAGGTATTATGCAGTCTGTCCAGGGAGGCCCCCCCCCCCCTTAGATCCCCCCCCCCCTTGAGCCTCGCTCACCCTGGCAACAACCATGGGGCTGCTGGCTGGCTGGAAGTAGGACCGGTCCGTGGGGTCCAGCTTGGCCCCTTTGACTCCACGGGGAGCACAAAGGTGGGTTACAGGAATTGGGCCTGTCCAATTCAGTGAAAAGGAGGACGAAAGGTGAGGAGGCCGCAGCGGTTCAATATTGGAGGGGCTGCCCCTGGGAAGAGGAGGGTCCACCTCTTCTCCAAAGCCCCAGAGGGCAGGACAAGAGACCGTGGGCGGAAACTCCAGTCAAGGAGAGAAGCAACCTGGAATTCGGGAAACGCTTCCTGAGAGTGAGAAGGATTAACCGGTGGGAGAGACGTTGCGGCTGCTCCATCCCTGGAGGTTTGGGTGGGACTGGACCGCCACTGATCTGGAACGGTCCTGTAGGGACTAGAAGACCTCCGAGGTCCCTTCCAGCGCTTTTTATTCTGAGCTAGCCCAGGCGAGGGTGGGATGCGTTGCCAGAACCCAGCCAGAACCCGGCGTCTTTCCCAGGGCCAAAGCTGGGCGGCTGTGGGTGACGTCTTCGTCCTGGAGGAAGGAGATCATCTCCGTCGGGAACAGGAAGTCAAAGGGTTTGCCTGCCCGTCGTGCAGCTCTGTGAAGAGGAGCCGTCAGCGGCGCTCAGACACACCACAACAACCCAACCACAACAGAAGCAGGAAGTTCTTGCTTCTGTCATCTCCTCATCAGGCTACTTTGAGTAGAACCGCCTCCACCCACACCAGAGATTACCGATAGTCCTAAAGGGCTCTGATGGAAAGATTGCAAGGGCAGGTCTGGTCCAGGTGCTTCGAGAAGAGGTCTAAAGGATGCTTTAGGCCAGAGGTCTCCAAACTTGGCAACTTTAAGACCTGTGGACTACAACTCCCAGGGGTGAGGATATCTGGGAGTTGAAGTTCACAGGTCTTAAAGGTGCCAGGTTTGGAGACCTCTGCTTCAAGCATACCAGGGATTATTGTTGTCCCACAACCAAGGATCAGACCATATTCTGGTATCTTAACAGAGAACAGATAATCAGAGTTGGAAGAGACCTTGTAGGTCATCTAGTCCAACCCCCCGCACCCAAGTGGGAGACCCTACACACCATTTCTGACAAATGGCAGTCCAATCTCTTCTTGAAAGCCTCCAGGGATGAATCTCCCACAACCTCCGAAGGCAACTTCTGTTCCTTTGGTTGATTGTTCTCACAGTCAGAAAATTCCTCCTTATTTCCAGGTTGAATCTCTGCTTGTTCAGTTTCCATCCATTATTCCTTGTCTGGCCTACAGGTGCTTTAGAAAATAGCTTGATCCCTTCCTCCTCTCTGTGGCAGCCCTTCAAATATTGGAAGACCGCAATATCCTGTCTCCCCTGGTCCTTCTCTTCCCTAGACTAGCCAGGCCCAGTTCCTGCGACCATTCTTCATATGTTTTGGTCTCCAGTCCCCTCATCATCCTGGTTGCTCTTCTCTGCACTTTTTCTAGAGTCTCAACATCTTTTTTATTGTGTGGTGACCAAAACCGGATGCTACTCAGTTCAAACCAATCCCCTTCTTCTCCATTTACTAGCCCCTCCCCCAGAGCCCCCAGGTGTGAAGGGGCTCATCCCAAATCCCTCCCCCCAGGGTCCGGCACTGAGAATCCAATCAACATCCAGGATGATATTAGGGGAAAGCTCCTGTTCAGGTATTTCTTGCATCTGGAGTCTCTGGGCAGTCGGTTTTGACGGCATGTAAACAACTCCACTCAGCAGCGCCATAATCCATGAGTGCAGGCCTCCCTTTCCGTTCTCGTGCAACTACCCCAGCTCACTTCCCCATCCCAAATACCCGAGCCCCCTCTCCCCCGTTACTATGGCAGCCGATAGCAAGCAGGCTGAAGAAACACCCGTGCTGGAGGTCTGCCCACAGAAACTTCCAGAGGACTCTGGATGAGCCCAGCCACCTCACCCCGGGGGCTGCTTGGAGGGAGTTAGAGAGAGAGACGCGTCTTGATGCACTTGGCTATTTCGATGGTTTTACCCACCATTTTGGCTTTAGTTTCAAATGGCGTGATTGATGGATAAAACAATAATTAGAAAGGAGTACACACATTTATCTCTTAATTGCCTAGTATTTCTCCAAACCTGATGACTCACTTATGTTTCATGTTCCCATCCCAGAGTAATCGCTGCAGAACCACTCAAATCCCAGGCAAGACAAAGGGCTGCGTGTCCCAGCTTAAGGGTGTGGGTTGCTTCCCTTAAAAGGCAGGCGACAGCAGCAGCGCGGCCCGGCCTGCTGTCTTCCTTCTTTTCCGCACGGCCCCTTTTCAGCCTCCGTGTTTTACCTGTTTTGATGTTGAATATGGAGAAATTCCGTTCCCTTCCTTTTAGCGGGGCTCCTGCGGGAATCTTTGCAAGAGCCTGTATGGCTCACCCTGTACCTGTCCCATCAACTGGCTGGGCCTTAAGAGGAGATGGTTAAAGGCGAACCATTTATCCCAAAGGTGCGCTTTTTTTTTTTTTTTTCAAGAGGCACCTGGACGTTTTTCTCTGAAGACCTTTTGCTTCTCATCCAAGAAGCTGCTTCAGTTCTGACTGAATGGGGTGGGGGGGCGGAAATGGAAGGATTGACACTTGAAAAAGCACCTTCAGGATAATCATGACCTGGGAATCTCCATGGACATTGAGCAAACCATTTTTCTTGAGTGGTGGGTGGGTGGCTCAGGCCATGGGACTCGCAGGAGGAGAAAATGGAAAAAAGCAGGAATTGGAAATGAAAGAAAGAAAATGGCTTGTGGGGAGGGGGAGGAAGGGGGTTGGCTTGAACCGAGTAGCTCTGCTGTTGAGGAGTTGGAGTGGACTTGGGAAGTGAAGAAGCAGATTTGAATAGTTGCAGGAATTGGGTAGAGAAGGACGGAGGATTGAACTCCTCCAATATCTGAGGGGTTGCCACAAAGAACGTAGAATGATACACTTGGGAGGGGCTTCCGAGGCCCTCTAGTCCAGCCCCCTGCTCTAGCAGGAGACCCTATGCCACGTCAGACACATGACTGTCCAGTCTCTCCTTAAAAACCCCCAGTGATGGAGCAGCCACATCCTCTGGTGGCAAGCAGTTCCACGGGAGAATCGTCCTCCCTCTTAGGAAAGTTCTCTTTAATTCTAGGTTGCTTCTCTCTGTGATTAGTTTCCATCCATAGTTTCCTGTTTTGCCTTCTGGTGCTTTGGGAAATAGTTTGAACGCCCCACCCCCCTTTGTAGGAGCCCCACAAATATCAGAAAGGGGGCCGACCTAAGATCCAGAGCACCTGAGGGCAGAATAAGAAGCAATGGATGGAAACGAACCAAGGAGGAACCCAGCCTGTAATTTCCTGATGGGGAGAACAATGAACCCGTGGATCAGCTTCCCTCTAGAGCTTGTGGGTGCCCCATGACTGGAGGTTTTCAACAACAGACCAGACAGCCATTTGTCTGGAGTGGTAGAGGGTTTCCTGCCTGATTGGGGGGTTGGACTAGAAGACCTCCGAGGTCCCTTCCAACTCGGATGTGCTGTTACTCTGTTATCCCCATTCCTGAAAGATTTTGAGCAAACGTGAAAAGCCCAATAGCAGCTCTTTGTAGCAGTTGCAAGAAAGGATGCGGACAGACGATTTTGTGTCACCTTAACATCCAGGAGATTCACTGCGGCTCACGGTTTCATCCTGCATTGGCTCCCTTTCCCAGGTGCCCAATCCTCTTGGCGTTGCTGTTACCACAACAGATGAACAAAACTATTTTTGGAAATTATTCCTGAGGGATAAGGTTACACAGGATAAACAGGACTAACGCAACAGCTGCGTCGTATTTTTCACTCTCCGGGAGAATTTCTGAAAAGGGCCTGGGGTGATTTGGGCCTTCCAGACCGAGTTTGAAAGAATCATCTAGGATTTCCCCGGAAACCCAATTCAAGAGGAAGGGAAGGAAAAACATTTCAGCATCCAAATTACTCAATCAGAATAGAACTGGGACCTTAGAGGTCATCTAGTGCAGCTCCCTGTTCAGCCAGGAGATCTAGACAATTTCAGACAAAGGGCTGTCCAGTCTTTTCTTCAAAGCCCCCATTGATGAAGCGCCTACGACTTCTGGTGGCAAGCTGTTCCTCTGGTTGATTGTTCTGTCAGGAAGTTTCTCCCGAATCCCAAGTTTCTTCCTCTCTTTGATTAGTTTCCAGCCATTGTTTCTTGTCCGGCCTTCAGGGGCTTTGGGAAATAGGGGGACCCCTTCCTCTTTTTTGTGGCAGCCCCTCAAATACCGGAAGACTGCGATCATCACCCCTTCTTTCCTCTAGGCTGGCCAAACCCAAATCCTGCAACGGTTCTTTGCATATTTTAGTCTCCAGGCCTTTAATCATCTTCCTTGTTTTTCTTTGCACTTTTTCCAAAGTCCCGATCCCTTTTTTTTCTAATGTGCTGACTGCACCTGGATGCGGTATTCCAGGTGTGGACTTGCTAAGGTTTATTGAGTGGTACTAATACTTCATGTGGTTTTGATTCTATGCCTCCATTTATACAACCCAGGATTGTATTAGCCTTTGTGGCTACTGCTGCACACAGTTGGCTCATCCTTAACTTGGTCTTCTAGTCCAGGGGTCCCCAACCACCGGGCCGCGGACCAGTACCAGTCCGTGGAACATTTCCTACCGGGCCGCCGTTTTGCTGGGTGCCACCATCTTGTTTGGCAAGAAAGTGCTTTCGGGTGAGCTTTTCCGGTTGGAAAGCAGCGTTTGGGTCCTGAAGGAATCCTCGCGCCTTAGTTTCATCGAGGGTGGTGGTGGCTTCGAATGAAACTAAGGCGCGAGGATTCTTTCAGCACCCAAGTCAAGGCGAGCCGAGCGACCGTCCCGAAGCCGTCCTGAAGCGAAGCCCATCGACAAAGGTACAAAGGAGGAGTTGAAGGTGGTGGGGAGAAGTGAGGGACGGCTGGCTGGCCAGTTGCTTGGCTCGCCTTGCCTTGTCATGCGTGCTGATGCCGGTACCGGGCGGCGGATCATTTTGTGATGCCGGTACTGGGCCGTGGCACAAAAAAGGTTGGGGGCCACTGTTCTAGTCCACCTCTCTCTGCTCAAGCATTTCAGACAAGTGGCTGTCCGGTCTCTTCTTAAAAATCTCCAGTGGTGAAGCCTCCACAACATCTGGAGGGGAGCCGTTCCACTGGGTAGTTGGTTCTCCCTGTGAGGAAGTCCCTCCTGCACCCCAAGTTGCTTCTCTCCTTGACTGTCTCTGGATATGGAGGTTGCTGAGGAGGGAAGGGCTGGACACCAGCGGTCAAGGATGGGCTTTCTCCCTAGGAGACTGTCTCCTGAAGGCCTTCTGCCCACAGCATCCTTCTGGAGAGCAGCAGCTGCTCTGAAGCGAAGGTGCCGCGACGGAGATGCCGCTGCCCAGAGGCAGCCCTAATCCGCGCGTGGGCCCCAGGAGAGACTCTCCCGAGGTTGCTGAACAAGCCCAACTGGGTCTCCCTGGAGGCGTTGCCAGGGCCGCCGAGAGGATGATTAAGTGCTGGAACAAGACTAATTTGTGCCGCCCTCACCTGCACCCTAAGTTAACTTCTCCCCTCCCCATCACCCTGTGGATTTCACATTCCTCCCCGCACCGACGTCACTCCTAACCGGGGGTGGGATTCAAAATGTTTAATAACCGGTTCTGTGGGAGTGGCTTAATTGGTGGGCAGGGCTTGGTGGTCATGTGACTGGGTGGGCGTGGCCAACTCAACATCACTCACATCAAGGGACGCATCTCCTCGCCTGGTCTCTCATGACTGTGGGGATGCTGCAACAGTTGTGAAAAATGGTCATAAGTCACTTTTTTCAGTGCCACTGTAACTTTGAATGGTCCCTCCACACAAGCAAAGTACCATCAAGGAAGGAAAAAATAACTCCAGAGAAGTTCCAGAGACAGGAAGTCTAGTCCTCCCAAGAATGTAATCAGGGTTAACGGAGAGGCAGTTTCTGTAAGCAACACCAGGATGTTTCCTTCCTGCCTTCCTTACAGGATTAGGCCAGTAATTTCTTCCAACAACCGGTTCTCTGAACTGCTTAGAAGGTTAACAGCCAGTTCTAGCGAATAGGTGCGAACCTATAGAATCCCACCCCTGCTCCTAACCACCTGAGAGGCTCATTTAAAAAGGGGGAGGGGGCTTCCAGAGCAGCGAAGCAGATTGGGAAGCAGGGAGGGGGTGAGCATGAAGTATGGAGAAGCAGAGTCTGCGCAGCCCACAAGTAGATGTTTATTTTTCCAACTGGGAGAAGAATGGTTCACTCTAGTCCAAGCTTGGCAACTCTAAGCCTGGAGGGCTTCAACTCCCAGAATTCCCCAGCTGCCAAGTTTGGAGACCCCTCCTCTAGCCTATACGAATGGGGAAAAAGTGACACGCCACTCGCCGCCCACCCTCCGGTTTACCCGCCTGAGTTTTAAAGCCACTCCTCTTGCCAGTTCCCCTTTGGCACAGCCGGAGGGCGCACAGATCCTCTGACTAAGCTTCCTTCCTTCCTTCCTTCCTTCCTTCCTTCCTTCCTTCCTTCCTTCCTTCCTTCTTTCCTTCCTTCCTTCCTTCCTTCCTTCCATCCATCCATCCATCCTTGCCATTTGCCCTCCAATGAGTGGATTTGATCCAGCCTTAGAGTGTTTTGTTATAAAATTTGGTCTTGTAAATTTTTTTTAAAAATTGTCACCCTTCATGGCCCCCCTTTGAGCTCCTTGGGCCCCGGAACAATGTACCAGCTCAACCCCCCACCCCCTCTCCTCAGGCCTGGGCGTTGCACTCCTGCCCCCTCTGAAGGACGCACTAACCCATGGTGCTGGGCCAGGCAATGCCTCTGTCCAGGAGCAGCTTTCACTCTGCAAAGTGATGTTTTTCTCTCTGGGGGATGGAGGGGTAAGACTCGGGCCTGTGGGGGGGGGGGGGCACTGCGATATCTACTGTGTGTCAAGGACGGGAGGGAAGGAGGAACGGGAGGCCGTTATTCTGAAGCCGGGTGACTGCTGGGTGGCTGGAGAAGCCCCCCAAGGCTACACCTGTGCTTCTAAGGCAGCCCCCTCCCCAGTGACGCTGCCTGCCTTCTGCCTGGCTGATGGTGTCCTCTTCTTGCTCTGTGGCAGGGGTGCGGGTCCAGCCTTGGCCATTTTAAGACTTGTGGACTTCAACTCCCAGAATTCCTCAGCCAGCATCACCGGATATCCTCCTGGTCTGGGGCCATTTCAGAGTGAGCCGCCTTCTCAAGGGGGCACCCCCCCCCTTTCTCTGAGGAAGTCTTTAGTGCCCCATTGGCTCTCTACTCCTTTAGGTTAGAATAACAGAGTTGGAAGGGGCCCTGGAGGTCTTCTAGTCCAGCCCCCTGCTCAACAGGAAACCCTATACCAATTGAGACCAGTGGCTGTGCGGTTTCTTCTTGACAACCTCCCACGACGGAGCCCCCACGGCCTCCGAAGGCAAAAGCCCTCCCCGTGAGAGATTCAGGGCCCCTCTTCTTTGGGTCAGCCCCTCAGATACTGGGGGCCTGCTGTCCTATCACCCCTCGTCCTTCTCCTGGGTCGATCAGAAAGGCCCTTAACCCTTCCCCACGCAGGTTAATGTAATCTGTTGACGTGGTCTTGTTGCTCTTCTCTGCACTCCAGTTTCTAGATTCAGCACCTTTATTTCTACTGTTTGAAAACTCTCCTCGTTTCGCTTTGTTATTATAGGGGGGAAGAATTAGAGAGTGGAAAATAGCAAGAGCTTCGCTTTTTCTGTTGCACAAAAACCAGCTGCTTGAGAGCCACAAGCCCCAAATAGGCATTTTACCATTCCTGCAACTCGCAGCGGCTCAGTTTACACAAAGGAGACCCTTATCTTGGTCTAATCCTGGTGTCTTAACCTGGTTTAGCTGGGTTTGCAAAGTGGCACATTTATGTTGGTTTACTTTATTACTTTATTACTTTATTTACTTTATTTACCTTATTTCGTTGTTCTCAAGTTTCTGAGTACAATGACAATAAATTTATCTATCTATTTATGTATTAAGCTGCCTTAACTAGGTCTGCACAAAGGACACGCTATTGTTGGCTTAGCCCCTCCTTTTTAAAGCTAGTTTAAGAGAAACTGCGTCCCTGCATACTTATGTTGGTCTAATCCTCTCCTTCCACCCCACCCCCCACCCCCCCAGTGCCCTCCCTGGAGACCCTCTGCCGCACGGCCATCCAGAGACACATCAGCCACCGCCTGGCCATCGACGGGCTGAACCTGCCTCCGCTGCTGAAGAACCTCTGCAAATACGAATGAAGCACCTGGCCAGGCACACCTGCCTCACCTGACGGGTCTTTCTGGGCGGGGCTGGTTCTGCTGGAAGCAGCAGCCGATTCTGCGGTCGCCAAGCCCTGGGAAGCCTCTGCTGGGGCGCCTTGCGTGCCCAGCCCAGAAGGTGCCAGGAGGCCAGGGCCCCGCTGGGCTCAGCAGGAGAATGTCTCGCATGTCAGTCAGAACAGGATCCGGGTCAGTCGTCACGCGTGTTCAATAAAAGCCGCCTTAAGGAAAGGACACTGTTCTGGCTGTGAGGATATTTCTGTAGCGCCTCCGGGCTTCGGTACCCCAGTTCTTGTAAGTCTCCAGGGAAGACCTTGGCAGGCAGGGACCAGGTGTGGCTCGGCCCGAACAAAGAGGCGGAGTCCAGGTGCTCTCTCTTAGTCACAGGTTTATTCAGTGCTGGTCAAAGGAGGGTTTCCCCCGTAAGGCTGGGAGGACCCTGAATGCAATTTTAAGCAAGCGTGGATGAAACAAATAAAATGTTTAAAAGGTTATATTTATGTAGTGACTTAACCGAGCACATCTATATTGTCTTTATTTTTATTTTTTATTTATTTTTGATTTGTCAATCACTTACCAGATATTAGATATAAGAATAAACATGAGTATGAATACAGGAAGTGGGTACAAATAAATGGGGACAATAGGAGAGGGACGGTAGGCACGATGGTGCACTTACGCACGCCCCTTCCAGACCTCTTAGGAATGGAGTGAGGTCAACTGTGGATAGCGTGAGGCTAAAGGAGTGGGAGTTAGAGGAAGTGACAACAGAGTCAATTAAAGTAACCAAAAATATCTTTACAATTCTCAAGTCATGTCACAACTTTTGAGCATCCCTAATGTTTGGAAATGGAAAGTTGAAAAATTTGACACGCCCTAAACAGGTTTCTTGGTTATATAACAGGAACTCTGTTTACAAGAATTAAGGAAGGTATAAAAATACTTCTACGCGCGTCTTGCGGCTCTGCTCACGTGTTCAGCTGTCAGCTTGTGATTCCGTTTATCAAGGCCTCCACAACTCGGGCCCTCTGAAGTTCAGGCCTGGATTTTATCCCCGCCACGTCACCATGGGAATCTTTAGACCAGGCACCAGAATGATCCAACCCTGATGACCCTCTTGAGGAAGGATTGGGCAGGGGTGGGGGGTGAGTGGGAGCAGAGGTCCTGGTCACTTCAGGCTACCCGACCACCAGAGCAGAGGCCCACTGGTGGCCACTCAGTGGCCCTGTGTGACATAAGGCCCACACCCTGTGATGCTGGTTCTAGAATGGGGGGGGTGCTCAGGGGGGGCCCCAGAGGATAGCACTGGCACTGCAGCACCTGACCAGGTTGCAGCCTAGACGATGGCGTTTTGTGGGGGCCTGGAAAAATCTTCCGCGGCCTCCTTTGCACCCTCCCACCAAGGTATTACACCCCCTGAACTCGGCCTGGCCGCTGTGCCAGAGGGTCAGAAATGGGGATCCCCAGCTGAGCCTGGGGCACTGCAGACAGACAGGCCCCAGCCCTTCCCAGGTGCCTGATCAGGACAAGGCAGCCCGATCACAGGGAGGACCGGGCTGGTTTGAGGGCCCTGCTGGGCTCTGCTCCTTCCAAGGGTCAGGGTTGGGGGCCTGGACCTCTGACTAGAACCAAGGGGGCTTCTTTCCCAAGTCTCTTTAGCCAGGCTGACTAAGAAAGGGGGACGCGGCAGAAGAAGCAGCGGCAACCTCACCATTTCCCATCAGTGGGAAGTGTAGCTCGCAAGGACTCCAGGCGGCATCCGTTCCCCTTTTGCGGCCTTTCCTTGAACTGGGCACGGGGATGGGTGCGGTCACCACCCAGAGGGTTTATGGGGGTGGGGGTGGGGTTACTGTACCTTTTCCTGAATCCTTGTCAGCCTGGGGAGCCACCATCGCAGACCCCGAGAAACTGGGGAGGGTTAGAAGAGAGCTAGAACAGAGGCCTCCAAACTTGGCCACTTGAAGACTTGTGCGTGATTCTGGGCGCTGAAGTTCACAAGTCTTCAAGCTGCCGAGTCTGGGGACCCCTGAGCTGGATGGTTAAAAGGGAGGCCATCTCCAAAAAGGTGCTGTCCAAAAAGCAATTTCTTTCTCATCTCTCAAGAAGCTTCATCCGAGAATTCTGAAGTTAGAACTCAAGAAGTTTTTGGGATGAGAAGCAAAACGTTTTCAAAGAAAACACCCAGGAAAGTCCAGCTGCCTTTTGGAAAAAGCTCCCTTGGGACAACCATGAGCTGGACAGTGGAGAAACTCAACAGACGTTAAAAGGGAGGGTGAAGAGACCCCCCCACCCTTTGGGGGGGGGGCTGTTTTACCTTTTCCTAAATCTTTGTCAGCCTGGGAAGCTGCCATTACAGCCGGAGAAACTGGGGAGGGTTAGAAGGGAGCCGGCAGGGTGGAAGGGACTCGGGGACTGACCCTCATCAGAAGCTGTTGAAGAAGTTGAGTCTATTTAGCTGGCCAGGGGGCAGCCGGGGGGTGTGTGGGTGGGGGGGGGGGGGGGGGGGGGGGGGGGAATTAGCACTCCACAAACATCTAAAAGATGGACTGTGGAGGAGGAGGAGGAGGAGGAGGAGCAGTGGATCAAAATGGAAAAGGAGAGTGAACATGAAAAGATATGCGTTGGCTGTGGGAGAGACTAAATGGTAGCACATCAAGGAGGGGCCAGTTGGCTAGGTATTGGGAGTTGATTGCATGCTCTCTAAGGTCCCTTCTCCATACATCCCACTGTCCTACCCCTCCTAGAGAAGGCAGCTGTTCTACAATTGCCCAAGATCCGGTCTGCCAAGGCACCCCGGGAACGGAATCTGCTCACATGGCCCCACATATCCCTTCAGTATCCATGATGGGCAGAAATGTCCCTGCTGGAGCCCACCTGGCAAGGCTATGCCCACCCAACTTCACCCAGGAGACTGGCATTCTGTCGGCATTCAGTGGGGCTCTGCTGCTGTTCCTGGGCTCACAGGGCTGTTTCAATGGGGCACCCCACTCCAAGACTCTTAGGCCTTTGCCAGCTCCCCAGCTGGGCAACGCATGGGGTGCAAGCGACAGAAGAGGCTTCCGGTGGGGTTGCTGGCATCTCCCTCTGGGGAAGAGGTCTGAGCGAGAGAAGTGGCAGGCAGCGGAAACTCTGCTTGTACCCCAAAGGGCCCGGGGGTCTGGGCTCCCCCTTTCTGGCCTGAAAAAAGGGGTGGGGGTGTTTTCCTTCAGCTGCCCACACCCCCTTTGGTTGGTTGCATCCTCCTGGCAGAGGGGAGGAGCGGAAAAAGGGTCAGGCTCTCAAACGGACATGTTGTCCTCTGAACAGGAGAACCGGCCGGCAGCGGTGGCAGCGGCAGCAGCAGTGAGTCCGACGAGGCCCCTCGAAATCGGCTGAGCCCCTTCGCCCGGGTGCCACGCGAGGCCTTACCTTCGGCCGGCATCTCCTGCCCGCTGGGGCTCCTGCGAAGGAAACCGCAGGCCAAGCCGATGGCTTCTCAGCAGGGCAGTGCCACGCGGCTTCCCCTGCTGCCCGGCTTCGGCCAGTCGTGCCCGGCCCCGGGGGCCCTCCAGCAGGAGAGCAGCGACCCTTGGGAGCCGCCTCGGGGTCCCTGCGGCAGGCTCCCCCTCCAGAACGTGGCCCAGGAGTTCCCCCTGGAGCCCCCGGCCGCCGACCGGTGGCTCTACCTCCCCTCGGGGCAGCCCCCACAGCCGTTGCAGCAGCCCCCGAGCCCCGGCAGAGACTTTGCCCTGGCGCAGTGGGGCTTCCTGCCCAGCGGGGGGCTCTTCGTGATGTCGGCCAAGCTGGACCGAGACAGGGATGCCCCGCCCAGGCCTCCCTGGGCCCCCAACGTCTGCATCCTGACCCTGGCCATGATGATTGCGGGCATCCCCACCGTCCCGGTGCCTGGCGTGCGGGAGGAAGACATGATCCACGCCGCCCAGTGCTTCATGGCCGAGAACCTGGAGCCCAGCGAGGGCCCGGCGGAAGGGGCCCCGAGGAGGCGGTGGGCGGCCTTCCAGCGCCTGGGGGCCTCCTGCAAGAGGGACCGGCAGCGCAGGCGAGCCAACCACCGCAGCCTCCTGCCCCTCTTCCTGGCCCAGCTGGAGAAGTAGCTCCTCCCACTCTCCCCGAGAAGCCCACATAAAGGAATGGAAGAAACGGAGCCTTGGCTGCCCTGCGTGTCCCTGGCGCTGCGTCCCACTTCGGCCGCTCAGGCCAGCCCTCCCCCACCCAGTGTCTTCCCCCTCCCTGCGATCGTTCCTACCTCTGCTTGCTATTCGTGGCCAGGCTGCCCTCCAGGCAGGGCTACTGGGAGCCCCCCCGTCCTCCGTCTAGGGTCGGGAATGACCAGGAGGCCCCCACCAGCCTCTTATCAAGGGGTCCTGAGAGCCTGGAAGGCCCCACTTGGCGGGGGGTGTGTGAGCGGGAGGCAAAGGCCGGAGGAGACCCTCCCTGCCCAGCTGGAGGCGCTCTGACCCAGAGGTGAGGGGTTCGCCTTGCGTCCCAGAGACCCCACGACCAGCCGCTGCTGCACCCCTTTTCCCCCACCAGCAAAGCCCATCAGGCTGCAGGAACGTCCATTCCTTCGACCAAAGGAAGACATTTGGGGGGGGGGGGGGGCGGCACAGTGGGAGAGCCAATCAGGGAGGTTTTTATTCCCATTAGGCCCATTAGGCTGTCAGCCAGCCCGGCACAGGGTGAAACTCTGGGGCTAAAAAACACACGGAAATAGTCCTCCGCTTCCGATTCCAATTGGGACCAGGATTTTCATTGCCAAGAAAAGTGGCTGTTAAGTGAAGCGCCCCTGATTTTATGACCCTTCTTGCCATGATAAGTGAATCAGTGCAGTCGTTAAGTGAACCGGTGGTTATTAAATGTGGCTTTGCTCATCCAGAAGCCGGCTGAGAAGGTCCCAAACCCCAGGAATCTCCAGGATGCTTCAGTTGTGGTGCCTCCCTGCCAGTTGCCAAACGCCCCGAAGTCTGACGACTGGTCCCTGGGGATGCTGCAACGGTCATAAGTGTGAGGACAGACCATAAGTGACTTTTTTCAGTGCCATTATAACTCTGAACCCTCAGAAAATGGTTGCAAGTCGAGGATTACCTGCGTCAGATATTCATCCAACAATTCACCCTGGGAACTTCTCAAGACTTCTGGCCGGTCATCCGTATGTCTCCCCCGGCTGGAAGCCCCCTCGGCCTTTGGGTCACTCCTCCCGGTTGCAAATCCTTTCCTTTTGACCCAAACGAGGCAACTGGACTTTCTGGTTTTTCTCTGAAGACCTTTCGCTTCTCCTTCAAGAAGCTTCTTCAGCTCTGAATGGGTGGAGGGGAAGGGAAAGATTTATGCTCCTTGCAGACAGTTGCATATAACCCCCTCCCTTCTCCACCCCCCACTCAGAGCTGAAGAAGCTTCTGGGATGAGGAGTGAAACGCCTTCAGAGAAAAACTAGAAAGTCAGGTTAAAAAAAGCCACGTTTGGGACAACCCTGGTCTGGGTGACAGAGAATCTCCA